TTGAATAGTAAAAATAAAGGTAAGAGAGAAGGCTTCTTCACTCTTATCAATGCCTCTCATCTACCTTAGATGAAGAGAAGGAAAATTGGTTGGCTATCAAAAAAAATGTATTGGCTATTAGAAAAATGATATTTTTTTAGATTGATAAAGAACAAGAATTAATAGAAGGAACAAAATAGCCCTATCTAAACTAATTTTTTAAGTTTATAAAAAAAATATTAAAGTGGATAAGATTCTTATTCAAATAAATATTAAAAAATGAAAATTTATTGCCTTGTCCTTACAAAAATTAGAGCACTTGAAAAAAAGAAATTGAAGACTAATGACGGCCTCTAGTACTTAAGAATCAATGTTTACATCAGTGAAGAGTTTGTAGGATAGGAAAAATTACTCTTTTGAAAGTACAAGGATGTATTTGAGTAGATATACAAAGATTTGAAGAAAAGCCTTTTTTTAATAGTACAACACCAAATTGAGTTAAAGAAGGATATGCAACTAGTACATTAGGCTAGATATCAAATGAATTTGAACTATATCAATATTATAAAGCATAACCTAAAAAAACTATTGCAAGCTAGATTTATAACATCATTGAGTGTTGCCACATGATTCTCACTTATTGTCATAGTGCCAAAAAAAATTAAAAATTGCATATATGTATTGATTTTAGAAAATCAAATATTGCTATTAAAAAGAATTTGTATCCATTACCATTTATTTAAGAAGTATTGAATATTGTGGTAGAGCACAAGGTGTATTTTTTCCTAGATGGATATTTGAACTATGATTAGATTCAAATAGCTCTAGAAGATAGGTACAAAATTACATTTGTATGAATAGTCATGCCCTTTGAACTGAAAAATGCTCTATTGACCTACTAATTGGTAGTAAATAAATTTTTTTGTGATTTTATTTGTAATTTCATGAAACTATTCTTAGATGATTTTAGTGTTTATAGTTATATAACTAGTCACTTAGATAAGTTACAGTTGTGTTTTGAAAAGTATCAAGAATCTGACATAAACTTGAATCTAAAAAAATGCTCACTATTGGTCTATTTGGATATCATATTGGGCTATGAGGTATCTAAAAGAAGTAATTTTTTTATCCAAAATAAATCAAGAAAATAGAAAATATGAATCAGTTCAAAAGGCCAAGTAATGTTTTAGTGTTTAATAGATTTGCCCAATTCAACAAGTGCTATATCTGATTTTATACTTATATCATCAAATTAATCACCAAGTTCATAAAGAAGGCTAAAGAGTTCACCTAGTCAAAAAAATGTAAGGAAGCTTCAAATGAGATTAAAAAGTGATACTAGAATGTTTTATTTTAATTTCTTTCAAATAAGACCTAGAGTTCTACATGTGCACAAATGCTTCAAATAAAGCAATAGAGGTGATATTAGCCCAAAATCCAAAATAGAAGTGCGACTAGCCAATTTCTTATATTCCTAAACTATTGAATTCTGTTTAGAAAAATTTTGTTGAGAAGAATTATACTACTATAAAATAATAATAATAATAATAATAATGCAATGGTATATGCTTTGAATAAGTATTAATATTACTTACTTAGTAACACGTTTTTCTTTTTATGTAAATCACATGGCATTAGTGTATCTGGTTTGAGGATCAAGTAAATATAACATCAATTTTTTTATATTATATTGCAATCAATAGAAAAAATAGCTAATAAGTGTAATATCATTCTACTTGATATTAATTACAAGTTGTTGAAATTTTAAAGCATGTAAGAATACTAAAAAATTGACTTTATATAAAATACCAATTTTATTGATTGCAATACACATTACATTATATTTTCTTTATATAGACCAAAAAGAATTTCAAAAATATTCTAAATTATTTAGTATTGAATTTTGTTATTTAAAAAAAAGATAAAAATCATGATAAAATAGAAGTTAAAAGTGATATTTCAATAAACTTAATTTTTGATTTAAATATTATATAAATTTAAAGTTAAAACTCAATTGCTAGTTGATATCTAAATAAATACTCAAGTCTTATGCAATAGTCATTCTCTCATCTTAATGAGTCCTTTAAAATGCAATGATATGCATTATCTTATTTTTGGTGATTAAGATCACTTTTATACATAAGTACTTGCAAAGTAGCAATTTTCTCTCAATGAGTGGTGTATTGCCAAAGTTGCAAACAATATTGATTTAGGTAATTATTTATTTTTCTTGTCATCAATTTCTAACCTATTTATTACTTATAAATATGTATAAAATTAAATTTTTATCTAAATTTTTTTCAAAAAGTTATTAAAAATTTATCTTATTTCTACTTAATTCTATTATTAAATAAAATAATTATACCACTAATTATAGGTATCTATGAAAAATATCTTATTAATATGATTTGTATGTTTTATTTTTTTTTTGAAAACTTTTTTATCTCAAAAAAATAATTAAAAATTAGTTATTTGATTGCGAATGGAACATATCTTGAAAAACTTACTAATAACTTTTATCATCTATAATATTAAAAAAGAATCCTTTAATCTTAAGTGCTTTTTTTAAAATAGAAATTTTTGCTAAAAAAAAAATTATTTATGTTCTTAAATTAAAATTGTACTTTATTATCTATCATCTCAAATCTAGACTAAATGAATAGTTACATGTGGTGATACTAGCTTCTTTATTTTTGAAACATCAATCAACACAAACTTCTTACATTGTGTATCTTAAAATACAAAAATTAGGTGTGATGAAATATATATATTTTTAATATGTTAAAACATGATTAGATAAAAAAAAAATCTTATTTAAATTTTATTAGTGGTTAAGTTTTTTAATAATTATTCTATTTTAAATTTTATAGAATTCTTATTTTTGTTATGTCATTAGTGATTGTAAACTTATAGTATTGTATATTTCTACATTGCTTACTTTTAATTGGTTTTAGAATAAAAGAGATCTTTTATTTGTCATGCTTATAAAAATATTTGGTTCTTGATATTGTAAGAATATTTTTAAATTTATTTATATATTATTATATTATTTATATATATATAAATAAATATTTTAATGGTATCAATAGAATATATTTGTATAAATTTTAATTATATTTTTTTCGATTTTATTCATTATTCTATCTATAAATATTTTTTAGTATATTTTTTAAAAAAATTAAAGAACTTCAATGCTACTTTATTTTCATATTTAAATCAATATTTATATCAACTTCAAAAATAAAATATGTTTGTTCATTTAAAAAAATTAGTTCTCTAAATTTAAAAAGATTTTGATATTTTTTCAATAAAAGATCCTTTATATCATTTTTTTATTTATATTAATTTAAAAGTTATAAAAAAACTATAATTAACATTTCGTATTTAATTCTAATTTTTAAATAATATTATTTATATGATTTAAGTTTTATAATAAATGAAAAAATATTTTTTAATCTAAAAATACATAAGCTATTTATTTTTAAATTCATTTTTTTAAATAAAAAAATACTCAAATCATTTTTAGATCAAAAAATATTTTTTGCCAATCTGTTATTTTAAATGTACCAATACAATAAATATATAATAAAACTTTGTATTTAAATTTTTTATTATAACACTTATAAGATTATCAATTTCTAGTAATTATTAAATGAATTATTTTAAGAAATTAAAAAAAGAGAATAAATTAGGAAAAAAAAAATCAAATAATACAAATGGTCTTGTCTTCTTTACATGGATTGATACACCATTTTTCAAACTCAAAAATCTTTAAATTGCCAACTTATATCTCCAAATAAAAACCATGTCCATATAAGATTCTAACAAATTTTTTAAAACCATATATATATATACATCTTTTTAATTTATTTTTAAAATATATACAAGACCTTTCTTCGGTTCGTCCTCCACACTTGTGCCTGGTCCATGAATCTCGTTTTTCAACAAAGAAGCTCCTTCGAGCATCCCACAAACTTCACACAAAGCTAACTCGCCCGCCCTCCCTCGTTGCTGGCTTGACTGCGTGCCGATGCGTCCGTTGCTTCGTGCGACGCTTGCTCCGAAGATGAATCTACCAAAAGTTGTCACCACTTCCATGAAGCCCATGAGCATCACCGATGAGAGACACATGGATGTCCCGCAGGAGACCGCATGGCCTGTAAAAGTGCCCACTGCGACCTGGCGGATGAAGGACCACGGACAACGATCTGACACCAGCTTACCCTTCCAATTGTCGCCAAATCCTGCAATAGTGCTTGCTGATTAGCCAGATATGGCAAGCCTGATTCCCCTCCAGCTTGCGGTTTGCGGTAAATGAACACCTTTTCAGGGTGTCTTTAGATGCGGTGGCCAGCCGGTGACCTAGTCCTTGGCTATACCTTGCGCCATGTGTCGACGGCTGTTTCTCCTCATTTCTCACAACTTCTTGTTGGTTTCGCGATCGGTTCCGCTTGGTTGGTTATCACACCACCCCTGCGACGATTTTACGTTGAAAGGCATGAAGTCTTGGGAGAATCTCATGGTGGGATCGTTTTAATGAAAGCTGTGGCTTTGGGAAATCTAAACTGGGTGGTTGCGCTTAATAACTCCAGGACACAAAAACAAACAACTATAGCTCATGGCTAGTATTCATGCTGAATCATCGAATTATTATTGATGTTATGAGTTGGACTTTTTGCTGATGGAACGGATGTCAGGACCATTGATCTCTGCTCCCTACAGTAATATATTAACTTCTATAATCACATTTTATGATTTCGTTTCAGTTTTAGGGACTGGTGTTGACTTCATGCCATCACGCCACTAGCTACAGGTAGCGCACTGGCATAGGACTTGTCACCAATTCAAGCAGGTTCTGTATTGTACACATGTCCAATCTAGAGAGACTTTGCCTCAAATCAGTGAAAAGCGCAAAATAGTGAAGTGGGATCTCGGGCTTAATCCCTCCGCATTCGGCCTTCATCACACGTGTTGTTCTTCTGCTGCAGGAGAGTTCTTCAAAATGGCTTTGCTGTGTGTGTCTCGCAGTTAAGTAGTAGTCCCCAGAGCTCCTCATACTTCATTCTACACCAGAAAATCTCGTCTCGAACATCGCCCGAAGTGACTTGTTTCAGTGCTTCGACTCCTACCTGTAGAGCATAAAAATCCTCTTCCCCTCTTCTGAGCTTCTAGCAGTCTGCGCAGTTGTGTACATATTGGATTGTTGTCAGCATCACCGCGTCGGCTTCCTCTGGAGTTGTGAGCAATCCTTGAGCGATTTCGGCCACAGAAGGTACCTACATTGGTGTTTTGAATGTGCGGCTTGCTTGGTTCGGCTGCTGTTGTCAGAATGTGCGCACATTGCATTCGTGACTGTAGATCATAACTTGTCCAACAATGTGTCTCATGCCAACGTTCTGTAAAAGCTGAATAAACTATTATTGGCTGATTCGAGTAACAGGTTCATTATCCCTCACTGGTCAATATATTAATAAAAGTGTAAATCTGGTAAGTGCAGGCACTAATCACTGTCGAGTTTCTTTCGTAACTCAGTTCGAAAACAGGAATCTCTTAAAACCTGCAAGGAGATGGAAACTGCAGGAGAGCGTGCGGCCATTGGCGCCGAAACAGCTCGCATGGAGGGTCGCGGTGCAGCAGGTCAAGGAATGGAGGCAGCCAAGGCCGCCGCTACCGGGCGGGTGGGAAGGCCCAGGCACCGACGCGTGAGGCTCCCCGGACAAAGCAGGAGCAGGAGCGTCAGCAGTTCTTTGAGCAGCTCCGATGAGGAAAGCATGCGACGCCGACATGGCGCAGAGGGAGTCAGGACTGTTGTCAGCAACGAAGGAGAGGCCTTCTGCCCAAATCCCAACGCAAGGAACCTTGTAAGCATCGAAATATCATTTCATCCTTCTAGAAATCTCAGGCTCTTATTGCTCCTGAAATTCAGCTGTAGCGTCACATGTAGAAAACATTGCGACGCCGATGTGATGCATGTGAACTTGCTCCGGTGACAATCATGTTGTAAAGATTACTGTGCTGTTGGTGAAATTTTAAGTCTGGAACGATGTAAGTACTTGTGTGACATCCAATATCCGTCTGTAGCTCTTGGACTTGATGTGTTTTGCAGCCGAAGGAATATGAGACCAGGGTGCAGGTCATTCAGCGATACCCTGAGATGCGAACTGTGGAGAAGACCGATTACGTGAAGGAGATTGTGAATGAAGAGCGCACCATCATTGTGCCCAAGACTAGGGTTGTTATGGATGAGGTTCAACACGTCGATCGTTTACCCATTATTAGAGATGTGCCGAAGTCGCGGATCGAGATTGTGTATAGGTGAGGCTTCGACTTCTCTTTGTCCTAGACTTCGCGCATTGAGAGAGCCTTAAAAATCTCATTACTCAAGTTTGCTAGTCCGCTCAGAAGACCAAATAAAAGGGAGTAACTAAAATAATACAAATACTTTCTTTCGTCTTTGATCATATTCAAGCTAAGCGTAACACTGATATAAAATGGTAAGTCATATTTTGAAATAAGGTATGGAAAGAAATAGGCATCATTTTCTCAAGCAATGGTAGCAGTGCATCATAACATCTAAAGTTATCCGATATCGACTTAACAAATAGTATAATGAAATCATCCATACTCAAAATATGAAGGACAAGTCTCTAGTAGTTTCACTGCCTCTTCTCAGAGTTGTTCCTGAGGAGCGTGAGGTAACCGACATGGTACCCTTGGTCGAGTATGTCGATACTCCGAGGATTGAGAGAGTTCCCCGGGTCATCGTCGAGGACATCGAGGAAAGAATCAGAGTACCAGTTATCCGAGAGGTTCCAGTCACCCGAATGGTCGAGGTTCCCACCGGAAAGTAAGTTCCAAACCTCGTTCCATCTCATTTTTTTTTTCGTTCAGTGCAGCCCCATTTGTCACAGTCTGCAATTCGGTATTTACTTTGGAGGGAAAATGCTATAACGTGAACGTTGCGGTCATGTGCAGCTACTGCGAGGCACCCGCTGGCGAATTCGTCAACCCATCGGACCTCAACCTTATGGGTCACCACCACCACCACCACGGTCACAAGACTGGCGGCTTGCTGAACAGAACCAGCAGTTCGTCGTCCTCATCATCATCTGACAATGAGCATGGCCTCCACACTCACAACACAACGGTTGACTCAATGGATACTGGTCTTCCAGGGCACCATCACCATAACTCCCTCGATGGAACCACAACCGGCACAGACTTGGACACCACCCACACAGCGGCGCCGAAGAGGAGGTCGGGATTGTTGGGCAGGATCATCCACCACTAAGTTCCCCCACATCGGCCAGCGCTGTTTATCACGATCTGTGCATGACTTTCCACTCGCTGAGCCATGAATGAAGACCCCAATACGATACAAGGTCGGATTTCTGAAATAAGTTTGCAAGTTACAGAGGTGGAGAAACCGTCACGCCGATGGTCGGCTTGCTAGTTTCATTCCACACCGTACATTACCCGATTGCCACTTTTATTATTCTTCAACACCATTCCTCGAATTTACTTTGTACACTTGGATTCTACACAGTTTTTGTAGCAAGCTATTTTACTGTAATTTATTACTGTTCCGCGTGTCCTATTCTTGGTTTCAATATAAGAACAATGCATTTTTCGTTCAATGGTTCTGCTTACTGTGACAATTTCAACTAGTTTGTGTGTTGCTGCTTCATCAATCTTGCATTATCCTTCGATTCTACAATTGTGACATCCATTCACTTGAAATCTCAATGACCAGAATTGCTACATCTAAAAAAAGAAAAAGAAAAAGTAGTTCATAATTTTAACAAAACTGTTTATTAGTACATCTAATCAAATAAATCATGTTTGAAATTTTCACTCTAATTTCAATTTAGTATTTTAAAATACATTTGAATAGGAAAAAAATTAAATTAAATTAAATATATTGCATTTAAATAAATAAAAAATCTAATAGAATCTTTACGATGTCATCTTTTAATTAAAATTTTAAACTTTATTATCAGTTAGCATAATCAAAATTATAATAACTATAAATGTTAATTTAAAATTATAAATAATTATAAATAATTTAATCATAACATTAGCACACCAAGATTATTTTGACCTTAGAATATACATTTTCTATCATTATTGGCTATTACAAATTGATAAACATAATACTAATGCTTTATAATTCATTGTACTTTAATATATATATATATATATATATATATATACAAGAGAGAATGATAAAGCAACCCAAATTTGTATTAAAGCAACCCATGCTATCTTAACGAGCATTATACTCTTGTAGTGCTATCCATATTCGCAGCCATTCTACATTCCTAAGTATTGCTAAGAATGGAGGCAGGAGGTTGGGAACGTTGGAAATGGGGGCAATGGTTGGGAATGAAAATGGGGTTGAAAAGGTACAATGATAGTTTAAACATGTGGGTTGATTTAGTAAAAATTTTGGTTGCTTTATCATTTTTCTATATATATATATATATATATATATATAATAGAAATTAATTCACCACATAATAATGTCAATATTTTTGCTTCATAACATCTTCATAATAGCATTGGTATAAACCTTTATCTTATCAATAATGGTTATTTGATGCAACTTATTGGCTAATTGTAGTAGTACAATACTTAGTATTAAAATCTTATCTTTTGAAAATATTTGGTTGTGTACAATATATTCATCAATGTCTACATTATTATTTAATAACTAATAGTAAAAAAGATAAAAAAAAATTCAATCAACACAATAGTTTATTTGTTGTCATAAAAAATCTTAAAGCTTTGTAGATCCAAGAAATCAATAATGGCTATAGAATTCAATTAAAGATGATCATATAGTCTATAATAATAAAAACATGAGAGATTATTTTTAAATAATATTATTTTATAGGCTTGTCAAAGGTAATCCTACAATATCTTTTGGATCAATAAATATAATCAAAAATTATACTTTATAATTAGATTAATATTATTTTTATGCAAAGACAAATATAATTAATAGTAACAACTATTTCAAATTCATTATGGTTTTAAATTATTTTAATTTTAAAATCATCAATTATTGAAATAAATATTACTTTAAATATTTTAAATAAGTAAAAATTATATTTTATACATACTTGTACGTTGGTTTTAAATAGATATTTTATATGAGTGTGAATGTGCATTAATCTTGTAATTTATATTTTAAAACAGTATCTAATATATTTATTTATTATATATATATAATTTATTTTAATATAAAAATAAAATAAATATAATAAAATTAATAAATTTGATTGAAACTATATAAAAATAAATATATAAGTATCATTTTTAATCATTTTGGAATATAACTTATCAAAAAACTATACATGTATTTATAAAAATAGTTTAAACTTATGAAAAAAATTAATAAATTATTATAAAAAATAATATTTTTTTAATATAATACATAATATTTTTACATGTTTAGTAAGCTTAGCCAAGTCATACCAATTTTACAAAAAAATAAATAAATAAAAAGAAAAAAAGATACAATAAGATTGGAATTTCATAAAGTTAACAAAATGATGTCAGGTCTCTTTGCCGACAAATGCACAATGATATTTTGATTCAACTTGTTTTTTCTAAGATAATAATTACATCAAGTGGTGATAGGTGAGTAGTTCTATTTATTGTGCAAGCCCTATCTATCACATCCTATTGAGTAGAGTCACTTTTGTGTAGAGTAAGTTCCATAATAAGAAGTCTTTATAAAAGATGAATTAGTGCTTATTTTCTTGGTTTTTTTGGAGTGTTGGTGAAATATGTATGGATTAAATTTTGTGAATTTTGAGTTCACTTATTGCCCTTTGTATTAAATTGAGTGTATCTAAACTATGCCAATTAATTGTATTTTGATTTTGGTATATTGAACAATGTGGTTGTGGTTGATAATTATGTCTTATATTGTAGAAGAGCCAAAGAGTGATAAGGATTTATAATGTTGTATGCAAGAAAGAATTGATTGGATTTTGTAATAAAGGAATTATTAATGTTTTATCAATAGATTCTTATTTGAGTTGTTGTAATAATTCTAAAGAAATTGATCAAGATTCTTTGAAGGTTGTAGGTCTTTATAAGTATCTAAGTAATTTTGTAATAGAGTATAAAGATATAAGAAGAAATACAAAATTGGTGAATTTTGGAATTAGATATTTTTATGAAAATAATTATACTAAATATAGCAAATTAGAGAAGAAAATTTAAGAAGATAGAAATATTTGTAAAAATAAAGCATGTATTATTGGATATTATCAGAGAATTTTAAAACATAGATTATTTTTTATATTTCAATACCAAAGCTATTTATAATAGAAGTATTAATATGTAGATTATTAATAGAATTTAAATATAGTGATAGAATTCTAAGAGTCATGTATTCATTGCAAATGATAGTTGAAGATTAAAAGAGAAAGTTGGCCAAAGAAAGTAGAGTTGAAAGAATGGATCTAGAAGAAATCGTAGAAAAGTTCAATGAGTGGCATACTATGATCAATGCCTTTTGATTGCAGCTTTAGGTAGATATAGAGCAATTGTCCAAAGATAAGAGTTTTTTTGATTTTCCAGAAATTAGAGATAATAAGTAAATCAATGTAGATAATAGAGCTAAAAATATAGAAATTTTGAATAAGACATGAAATTTAGTTTTGTCTTGTATTTTTCAAATAGTTCTTTTTCCAAAGCCTTTATAAAAATGTTAGCAACTTGTTCTAGTAAACGAATATATTGAAGTATAATTTTGTCACTTCAATTTTTTTCTTGTCTAAAATGATGATGAATATTAATATATTTTGTCATAGAATTTATGTCAAGATTCATTGCCATATAAATGTTGTTATTGTTTTTATAATAGATGGAAGTAAGTCTAGTGATTTGAAGGCCAATATCTCTAGTAAGCTTGGCTAGCCAAGCCACCTCCTTTGAAGTGGTAGATAATCGAATATACTCAGCTTTAAAGAAGTTCATTTCCACTATACGATGTTTTTTTGAAAGCTAGGTAAAGGGACTAGAATCCAACATGAAAATGGATCTATTATAAATCAACTATTAGTCACACTTCTTCTCAAGTCTATATCTACAAATCTTATGATATTTATATTGGATTCTTATAGGTAGAAAATGCCTTAGTCTAAAGTATGTTTAATATATCTAATGATTTAATTGGTTTTTATTAAATTCAATTCTTGAGGATAAGTAAGAAATTTTAAGTAGATTTTAATTTCTATAGAGATATCAAAGCAGATTTTTATAAAATGATCAATATTCCAACCATAGAATGGTAGTATGTAAGGTCACATGGTTGTGCATTCATATCAACTATTAGCTTTAGTTATTTCTACATTAGTGTAGTTCCAAGCACATAGTTTTTTATACCAAAGTATTTTAGTAACTAAAGTATATAACTACATTGAGTCATAAAGATGTTTCCAAGAAGTTTGGTACATTCTACTTTTAAATAAAGTGTCATGTCTTCTTTACTTAGTTCTAACATGTTGAATTTGAATATAAGCTGTTGTTTGAATCAATTCAATCACTTTTGAAAATTGTCAATGAATAGTAAATCATCAGCATAAAAGACCAATAGTAATATTTTTCCTATTTATTTAACAATGTATAGGTTGTAATTGCCTTCTCCTTATAAAAAACCTTGTTTGTATAAAAAGAAGTCAATTTGGATATACTAAGCTTTAAATGCTTATTTCAATCCATTATAGTAAAAAGAATTTGCTTTAAGAAGTCATTGAGCCTCTAGTTACCATTAATTATTCAAACATGTTTTAAGTTTAAAAAAAACAAATTTTATTTATAGCTTATCTTCATGAAGAAAATTACTTCAAATATGCAAATCTTGAATGTACAAAAATCTCCAAGATGTGACTAGATATTTTAAAACCACTTCTATTCTTATAAAGTTTTCTTTCAAATTTGTATCATCCAATATCTTTTAATCTATCTTTCTAATTGAATTCAAACTTTCCTACAAGTTAATTGATATCTTTAACTACATTTATAATAAAAAAATAAAAAAATAAAAAATATAAAGAAATAAAAAAAATTATAAAGTAATTACAAATCTTCAAATATGGCCTAATATCTAACAAGTGCTAAACATGTCAATTTTTAAGATATGGCCCAAACCAAAATCTCTATGAAAAAAACTCACTTACAAACTCCAATTTTGAAGTTTCTTAAGTTAGCTTTTGAACCACACTTTTTGATCTCCAAAAGCTTTCATACAATTCTTTATATACAAAAAAAAAAAAAAAAAAAAAAAAAAAAAAAAAATAGATACAATTTTAAGATCTTAACTTCAAGCATCTTTTTTCTCTCATAAAAACTCTAAAGTCCTTAATTTTTGCAAAAAACTTATAGCCCTCAACACAAGCTAATAAATTCTAATCTTTGAACTTCAAATAGCTATCCTAAAGTAGCTTCAAATTCTAATATGGTCTTGGACAACATCTTGAAGCCGATTGGGCATGATCTTTGAATAATAGGAATAAAATCTTCCATCAACTTGCCTTATCCATCTTCATGGGAAGGCCTAAATGTCAAAATATTATATCCTTATGTCACGGCCATAATCATGTAAGCTAATAATTACATA